GGCGCAGGAGGCGATTACTGGGAGGAGAGGGAGGACTCGTGAGCTCAGACCTGCTCATCGTGGCAGGGGCGGGGGTAGGGGGGCGCAGGACGCCCGGCCCATAGGAAGCCCTCAAGAGTCTAGCCCAGGAGCTCGTGGCTGCTTACTACTCGGAGGCAGCAACATGGGTCCTGTTTTCAGAGTCATCAGCACCCGGACCGCTAATTCTCTGAAACCTTCGCCTTAGGGTCTGTGGCGCGGAGGAGAACACAGTTATGTGACATTTATTTGTATCCAGAGGCGCAGATTTCCAGCAAGGAGGGGAAAGACGCCCAAGAGGAAGGGCAGGTTTAATGGTTTTTATGTATATTGTGCGTGGCGCCACTTGCTCCCGCAGTTTCCCGAGCGGGAGGGAGGATGGGAGGGTGGAGGGAGTGACCGGGCTGGTCTGGATCGGAGCGTTCCTGCCCCGAGGGGTGGAGGGCCTAGGAGGCCGCTGGTAACCGCAGCTCCGGATGGACAGCCTCGGGCTGAGGTCGGAGCCGCCCGGTGGCTGCTGCGCTCCCTCCCCACTCCCTCCCCCGCCCTCTCAGCCCCGACAGGTGCGCTCCCTGGGAGAGAGGAGAGCTGGGACCCAGCAGGCTCCCGCGGGCCCTTTTGGGGTCCAGGCGACCAGGGCGGGTCCTCTGGGGCCACAGGGAATGTCGGCAGAGCTGGGTCACGAATGAAGGTCCCCAACAACCAAGTACGAAGCTGTGGCTGCGTGTGTGCGTCCAGGAGGTGGACTGTGGTGTGGGTTTCAGGGAGGGGACTAAGCGAATCCATGGGGCACCTAGAAACGCTCGCTTTTTGCCCTTTGGAGAGGTGGCGGGCAGAGTCCTAAGCCGTTTGGGGGAATACCCTCGGGCGCCCATCCCGCAGGCCTGAGGATCCTGGCGGCCGGAGGCCTGGCCACTCGGCACCGCCACCTCTGCGTGGTGACCAGGCAGCCCAGGCACGGGCAGAGGCCACAGACTGGCGGGGCCCTCCGCCCGCCAGGAGTCGGTTGAAGCCTCTCAGGCCAGGATGCGCACCACCCCCACCGCTTCCCGCTGCAGCCCGTAGGAGCCCCCACACCTAGTCCTTAGCCTTCTCAGCAGCCTCCTTCCCATTTCCTGGCGGGATCCAGGCAGGCCCGGGCAGGAAACTTGTGCCCAGCGATAAGCTAGAAGACAATGAGGGAGGAGGGAGGAGGGAGGGGGGCGGCTAGGCCAGAGGTTCTACAGCTGGAAACAAGCACTGCCTCAAGGAGCCCGAGGCCCCGGGACACCCCCTCCTGGGGCGCGGCCGCCTCTCCTGGCACGTCTGCAGTGCTCCCAGAAGCCAGGCAGTTCCTACCAACGGCAGTGCTGTGCTCTCAAACCCCAGGAGTATTTCATTTTGCAAGAGGTGGAGGGGGTTCAGATGATGGCAGTGGATACACTTCTGGGCAAATGCTCCCTTTCTTATCGGCCCATCAGAAACCCGGGAGCAGCAGAGGCCCCAGGCTTTAGCCTTCCTCCCTGGGTGTCCGCCGGAGCAGAAGTCCCCAACTGTCGGTCCCTTCTCACTCTAGGGTCCACGGTGTCGTCCAAAGAGAAGGGGGTGGTTGGGTTTGGGCAAAGGAGACCTGCACAGCCCAAGAAAGGGACCCTCTGGCCCACTCCCCAGAGCAAAAGCCGAGAAAGACGGAGAATGGGCCTGCTCTGCAGGGCTACTATTTTTAGTCTCCCTCTTTCTCTGAGAAACTCCCCCCTCGGGCTTCTCACGCCCCAGGGGCAGCAGCGCTGGGCCACTGAGGAGCCCAAGTGCGCAGAGCCTGTGCCGGCCCTGAGCCTGGGTCCCCAGCGCCACTTAACCCTTGCATAGCCTGGGAACTCCACAATCCCCCTGCCAACAGGTAGGGACTTGGAGCTTGGGCTGTCACTATGAAGACTGAAGCTCAGAGTTCACACACACACACACACACACACACACACACACACACACACACACACGACCAGGAAAGCTGTGGAGATGCCCAACTGGCATTTTTTTCCCCTTGCTTCAGAAACCCCCCAGCAAGAAGGACGATGAGGGGGTAGGGGGGCAGCATGCAGAAGGAAAAAAGGTGCTGAGGTTGAAGTGGGGGGGGGGCTGAGAAATGGAGGCACCCTGGAACAGGCCCACCAAGCTAAAGGGGCAGGAAGCTGCCCGGATTTGGTGGCTGGGGAGCTGCTCCTGAGCCCCACTTGGTCTGGGGCTCTACTTCTTCCTGCCCCAACATCCTCCCAGCACAGACCAGGCGAAAGGGAGCACACGTGAGGGTGTGGCGGGCCCAGCTCAGGCCCCATCACTGCTGGATTTCACTCTACACCCTGCCTAGCCTGGCTTGCCCTGGACTTTCCACCGGACAGAAAGGAGCTCAAGATGGCCTCGCCTAACCCGCGCTCCACCGCCCTGGGGTCCTTGAGGAGGAATGGCAAGAAAGTCTGGGATGCGGGGTGCAACAGGCTTAGTTCCTGCCGGGCCCTTCTCTCCCCAGTTGGGCCACCGTGAGCTCCTGGGCAACCCTGGAAGCTTCTAACGCCCCTCAAAGCACTTGCTCCGGGGAGGTGGCCTCCCTCTCAGACTCTTTGAGGCCCGCTCTCTATTTCCTCTGTCCCCTTGACCCTGGGAACCAAGGACGGTGGTGGACCTCTGGGGGTGGGGGGTCACCATTCTGCTCCTCTAGGCACCCAGGCCCCTCCCCCATTTCCTGTATCCCAAATGACCTTACGGTTGTGCGTTGGGGGCACCTCCCTTGATTCCTAGGGCAGGAAGCAGGAGGGGGCAGAGGGCGGCCTGGGCTGGGGGACTGAAGTGAAGTGGGGTGTCAGGCCCAGTACCAGGGAATTGCCCCGGGCCTGTGTGGGGAGGGGGCAGGAGCGGAGCTGGAGCTAAGTCCTTAAGCTCTTTAGCCAGTGTCTCATCTAGCAGCTCAGCTCATCCGGCTCTGCTGGGGAAGGCGGGTGAGTGAGGGTGAGGAATGGTTAGGCTACCTCACCCCAGAGGTCTATCC